ACATAGTGAGCTTAGAGTTGTGTTGTTCAAATCCTGATCGTGATCATATAGTTGCATCTACATTGATCAGACAAAAGCAGATCTGCTTCTACATCGAATTCAGACGATTGAAGAATAGAAGTAAAAGCGATCACACTTTGAAAGGGTTGGAGCATTCGACGAATGTTGTCTGATCTACCTGCAACTCTTCTACAAAGATCAAGCATAAGCCTGAGGTTAAGTTGCTGTTGGACGGGGAGTCGCAAAGCCAGATGATAGTCAACAGTTGGCATTTGGTAGAATGATAGGGTTTGAGCAAGAGTCAACGTTCAATGTACTTTATTTCAAGCATAGTGGATTTGCTTACTTTAGACTGCACAGTCCACGAGGTTTTTCCCACTCAAATAGTTGACGTATTTTATCAACTGGGGTTTCCTCACTAAAATCCTAGTGGCATCTCTAACTTTACTTTGCTTTATTTTAGATTGCATGATATTAATTTATTAATTGCTAAAATAAAGTAGGTTAGAAAAACACAAGATCTGTTTTTAAAATAATAAAAACTTTCTAATTTTTTTTCGCTGCATACAACTCACAACAAATACCATATACAAATACACCTGTACAATACAACTTTCTCGCCCTCCCATTTCTCTTCCTCTCTTTTCTCTATCTTAAACTTTTCTTTTCAAAATCAAACACTAAAACATGTTCTCAAACCTCTCACGCACACTGGTTCATCCATGGTGATCGTACCTTCAACATGGTATAGAGAACATGTACGTGGCGAAGATGGCAAGTGGTATGAAGGGATGTTGGAGTTCATGGAAAAGGTCTCTACGGCAACGGACTAGTGAAGGAGTGCTACCTCCTATTCATTGCCTACAAGAACATGATCGATGCAAGAAGAGATCCTTTGTAACAAGACCACATCTCCATGATTGGAAATTACATACCCAAGTTTGAGTCCCAGCTTTCCTCGATATGTGATGGTATTCTCAAGCTAGTTGACTTGAGGATCATCCTTCGGCTTTACTGGGACTCCATAGTCTTTCACCTAAAGATTCAAAGCGATTATCATTATTATCTCTTTGACTTCAAGGCCAGTTCAGAGTGCAAGGAGGCCACTGAGAGCACATTCAATGCCTAAAAATCAATTTAGGTCAAATGCAATTTGATCCAATTTGTGTTCCTGATGAATAAAGTGTAAATCCTAACATAAAGTTCAAGGTTTAAAGTGATTTTTTATTTTTATTTTCATGAAATTAGTTATAAGAATATAGTAAGTTTATTGAGCTCGGCCATAAAATATTAATTAAGATATGTGTCTGTTCTTAATCATACTTTCGTTTTTTTAGGAAAATGTTGTTATGGAGCACATTTCACTTTAATAGAATTAATTTTAGATGTTTCTACTTATTAGATGTAATCCCCTTTGCCTAAATAAATTTTGGTTCAATTCAACTCTACCAAGGCTTATCTTGATTAGTCACACAGTTACACAAACTCAAATTTGCCATTATGCTCTATCAAGTGACACAACTTCAATTATATTTTATGTTACCATTTTTTTTCTTCTTATCAGCTAAACTTGTTTTAATCCTTGTCCTTAAGCATACTCAACATGGACATAGGTGTAATTATTGGTCTTTAATCCATATGGTCGAACTTCTCTATTTTATGTTTATTAATGTACACACAGGATAATCCTCTTCTATGTGGCTACCATGCTGAATATCTAAGTTATTGATTTCATTAGTGCTGCAATCACTCGAGTAAACTCTAACTTCTTTTACCCTATTATGGAGGTTTATGTGCTATAAGGCTTGTGATTGGAAGATTATTCAAGTAGCTAGAAGTTGAAAATTTTCATGCTTACATTTGATCATAATTTGCCTTATTATTGGTAATGTAACACGGACAAATCACATTCTGTGGATAATGGGTGATGACTTCTAGTACCAATATCGCTGGCTCGATATCTGGCTACTCCGATGACCAGCATAAGGACCGGTTGTTGTCGATGATCATTTATCGATTAATTATTGATTGATTTTAGTTATAACTGAATTTTTATCAATATTTGTGTTTATTATTCCATTTCTTAAAAACATGTATATTTGAAACGGTGCTTTGGTTGATAATAGTTTGGATTATTTGACTTTGTGTTTGGTTGCTGGTAAAATTGAACAAAAAGAAACTAAAGTTTTCTTTTTTGCTTTATGGGAATTGAAAATATGGGTTAAAGTAAGCCTCATAGTTGATAGTGCTTGTTGCAAACGATGGTGTTTACTATTGAATTATTTGTTTAAGTACAATTTATAGTCAACTCTTGATCAATGAATAACAAAAATAAGGACAGAACTCCTAATTTGTGAAATGAAAAATAAAGCATATATTTTTGGGTTCTAAAAAAATAAAAAGGTCATTTAAAACATGCATTTTTACCTACCAAAGAAAAGGTTAATTTTTTGCTAAGCAAACAGTTGGATCGTAATAATTTCATAATTACCATCACAACAAAAATTCAATTAGTGTAGGAACATATTTATAATATAAATCACAACTCATTTCATTTAATATATATAAGATTCATAAAATTAACTGAAGTCAAAGGAAAAAATTTGCACGTGTTTAAAATAATACCATAACGATTTCATAATTAATAGTTACCATCACAATTAAATTTCATATAGTGTAGGAACATATCTATAACAAATATAACAACTTATTTCATTCAAGGGGAAACCACGTACGTGTCTCATCATAAAGATTATATAACTATAATCACAATTAAATTTCATATAGTGTTAAAACATATTTCTAATATAAATCATAACTTATTTCATTATATATATATATATATATATATATATATATATGAAATTTGTAAAATGAATTGAAGTCAAGGAAACCAACATTTGTTTAGAATAACATCATAATGATTTCATAACTAATATCACAACTGAATTTCATATCAGAATAATTTTATAAGAGTTATCACAAATAAATTTTACGTAGTCTAGGAATCAATTCCTTATACGAATAGCAACTTATTTAATTCAATATTGAATCAAGCGGGCAAGTCGAGGCATGTCTTCTTTCTTTCAAACAAGACGAGTTAGCTCATTTCTCTAGAAGATAAGGAGAACAACTTTAAAGGGTTGGGACCTAATATGCCTACTTATAAAGTGTTAGAAGCCCTTAAGGAGGCCTTTAGTAAATCTAGAGTCTTCCATTCCTCTGACGCTTGATTCTTTCTTTGGTTTCGTCGCTCAATGCATCTGCACTACTGCCCCTAATAAACTTTATGTCTAACTGTTAATCTGTCTCTCTTGCTTGGTGCTCGGTAAACTCAGCAAGCAAGCAAGTAATTAATCCTCTTCATTTAGTTTCTAAGGAATGCTATCTTCTCAAAGTCAAAACTTCAAAAGCATGGAGTTCCTAAATATGAGGATGGTAGTTTAGAAGTGGGCAATAATTGCGGTTTTTTTTTATTTTAAGAAAAGGTTTATGGTACACGGTGGGATGAAAAAGGACAAAGGAAAAGGGCATAACTAGTATAACTAAAATTTCATTTTATTAAGCAACTAATTTGAATTCTTTCCACTTCTAACAATGGGATAATCTTTTACTCATAAAAGAAAGTTGGTCGCTTTATTTTCTCCCTCTCCTTTTGAAATAAGGGGAGAATTTAGACTTTTTATATTATTGTTGTATCATAAAGTTCATAAATGATACATGTTACAATTAAATTATAATATATCATATAATTAATATTTGAAACATGGTACTTTTAAGTTGTGATGTCATTCTAAAGTTATGTTTGTTTAATATTGTGTTTGATTGATATTACGTATCTGACATAAGTCATAAAAATAACAAGTGATACATGTTACGAGTAAGTTGGATGCCAGTATAATTCACGTTTAAAAGATGTTACACTTACTTAAGTTGTGTTGTCGTTCTCAAAATGTGTTTGTTTATTGTTACGTTTGATTCATGTTATGTACTTGAACCGTTATGTATCTTTATAATGTTACACTATGTCATTTCTTTTTTGCTATAATTCACCCAAAAAGAAGAAATTGACAATAAAGATGCTTCAGCACTTAAAGTTCAGAATCAACAATGGTACCTCTTTTAGTTTATTTTTTTGATCCTTGGTATGCAAGGTGTTCTTTGTACCAGAAATTTGGCTTAAAGAATCTTATTACTGGTTTCAATACTGATGTTACTGTTAGTGTATTGTGGCAAAACTCTAGGTGGACTGTACCACCATCTTGGCCATATGAGATACCACAGTTTCTTAATAAGTTCAACACTCTTGAAGCTGATGATGAGATAGGTTGGGTTGTAGGTTAATTTAGCTTTAGAGTAGCATAAAACATCTGTAGACAGCAAGGTACTGAGGCTCCATGGTATTCATTGGTTTGGAAAGGCAGTAAGCCTAGGATATCCATTTTTGTTGTATTGGTGATGCAGCAAGCAAACAAGTCCTTGGTACACCTTAAGAAGCAGAGTCTCATTTTCACAGCTATATGTCATAACTGCTACAAGGATGAAGACTCAAATAACCATCTTTTATGGTGTTGTCCATTTGCTCAACAGTTGTGGCAATGGTTTAGGGATATTTATAAATGGCATAAGTTGTTATCACTTCCATCCTTTGAAGCTATCATTAACTGGTTCATTTCGCAATCCACAATTTGAACGAGGAACACAATTTTGAGGTTTTTCTTTACTGCTATTATATGTGGAGTATTTGGAATCATATGAATCAAAAGTTGCATAATGGACCTTCACATTCTGCTGCTGATGTTGCAAGGGAAGCTTTCTTTGAAGGACTAAGCTCTCAGAGCCTATCATTGGTGGATCTTCAAGCTATTTTTTGATGTATTGTTTTCCCTTTAGTTTGTTATCCACTAATTAGTTTAGGGTTCTCCCTGTACTAGGTCTGTTCTCCTATTTTTTTCCTTTTGTGTTCTTTCTCTTGAGATCACTTTTCATCTGTACTATATTGCATATTTTTATTAATAAAAAAATTCCACCATTTAGGGAAAAAAAAAAAACTTATAACAGAACACCATGATAACCCAAAAAGTTATTCACTAAGGGGAGGGCTAGGGAAGAAGAATAGAAATAACTTCAAGTTCTTGATTCTAAATATAATTAAATACAATATATTTCATTTGAAATAGTAAAAACTCAAAGGAAATGCCATTAGAAACTTGCAAAAACATAAAAAGAATTGACTTACAACATTGTAATCAATTAACACCAATAAAAGGACAATATTATAAAACCTAGAAAAGCGAAGAAAAAAGATTGTGGGGAGAAAAAAATGGAAAAAAGAAAGAACTTATATAGAACGATGGTTGCAATGATGCACCATTCCTTCACCGGTCCATTATTTACCTTAATCGCCAAAACCCAGGTTGCCTGCAAATTTAGCAGTGTTTGGAAGCTCAAAACATTCTGCCTAATTACCCATGAAAATTTTATTAGCACCATTACTTCCCAATTTATTTGCACGCCAGTTTCTACAAACAATAAGAATAATCAAATGGGTTCAATTAGGACCTTTTGCAATTTCTAAACCAATCAAAAAGATAAAAGTACTAAAACAATTTTCAAGTGAAGAATGTGTAGATCCCAATTGAATGCTCCGAGTGTTGAAGATTACCCCAAAATAGCTGCTTGAACTGAAGTAGGAATTCTAGGGCTCCTTTTTTTTTTTTTTTTTTGTCAGTCTACTACTGAACAGAACTATTCTGTTGTGGCTCGATCTGATCTTCTGAACTGGGCTAAGCTTAGGCCTAAATACTCAATCTGCTACTTCCTGAAATGGGCTGGATCTGACTATTTTAAATTTGAGTTTGGTTAAATCCAGTTTATAAGGAAACAAAAAATATCCTTCCCAAACCCAAATCTGAACTTTCCAAACCAGACGGGATAATCCAAAGTTGACTTTCCAAAATCAGTAGCGCTAAAATTTTGGTGACAATAAGGTTGCAAAGATTAGCAATAACCCAAAGTTGACCTTCCAAAATAGTCATAATCCAAAGTTGACTTTCCAAAATCAGTCACGCTGAAATTTTGGTGAATAAATATTCCAAAGTTGACTTTCCAGAATAATGCTGAAATCTCAGTGAGAGTTGCAATAGAGTGCACAAAGTTCTTGGCTGAAGTTAGACTTGCGAGCTACACAAGGCTTGGATGACGTGAGGATGGCAGCAGTGACGGCGAGAGAAAACTACGTACTGCGACCGATTTTCGGCGACGGCTATTGTTGATGACAACAATCACACAAGGATTTCCGATGGCGAGGGCTAAAAGCGTGGATCCTTTTTTTTTTTTGGCTTGGTTGGGTTTAGGGTTGATGTTGGGATTGGTGCTAGGGTTTGTAGATGGCTTGTGTTTGATGACTGATTTGGTTCAGATTACAGTGAACAGTGGGTAAATACTGTGGTGGTTGTGATGGATGATGGCAGTGGCAGTGGCAGTGGTGACTAGGGTTTGTTGGGGTTTTAGGGTTGAACAGTACGTGTTTGATTGCTGTGAACAGTAGGGTGTGGTTTGGTTGCTGTGAACAGTAGAGAAATCTATGGATCTTTGCTCTGATGCCAATTGATGCAGTAGTGGGTAGGGGCGATTCAAAATCAGAATTCAAGTAGAATAAGAAAGAGATTGAGAGAGAAATGGAATAAGAATAGAAGGAAAGAAATCAGAAGAGTAGAAGAATTCAGAGTGAGAAGAAATCACAGATAATTACAAATTCAATATTAATAATAATCATCAAAAGCTAACTTTCACAATGTCTAAACCAACATATAAATAGGCATCGAAGAAAAACCCTAATAAACCTATTACCATAAATAAAATACTAAATTGCTGAAATATCCCATAATAATAATAATAAATAAACAAAAATCCCTAATTTTATCTTTCTTTCCCATGTCTCCAATAGTAGGTGTGGGCCAAGTGGTTTTCAAGCTCTCGGCCAGGCCTGGTTCTCCATCACAGAGGAATATTCATAATAATTATTTGCAGATTTAAGATCAATAATACAAAATGGGAAAATAGAATATGTAATAAGTAGGATTGCAACAGATTGGGCAAAGGGGAGACAAGCTAGTCTTATGATGCCAAATTGGAAATGCTTGGATGGATGAGGAGGACCCTAAAAGCCTAAAAGACAATTAAAGTAGAGAGAAAAAAAGAGTTTAGTCCAGTGTTTTCTCCTGGTTGGGTCGGAGGAGAAAACTCGCAAAGTAATCAACATGTTAGAGAAAGATAAGTTGAGTGATAAATAGTTTGGTCATATACAACATACGTCGTAACATGCAGTAGAAAAAAAAAATAAAATAAAATAGATGCTACACGCAAATAGAAAGACCAAAATTAAATTGGGATGAAGTTATAGACGACGTATAAAATTAAACATGATAAGAGACATGAATTGTATCAGAAGAATGGAAAAAGAAGAATTCATGTGGCCGACTCTAATTGGGTGGAATCAGTACAAGGATGATGATGACAAACAAAGTGCATGATAAAGCGAGTCTACTAGTGGAAGTCAATTAGATGCAATAAAAATGCCACATATGACGCAAAATCTAAGCATATATATCTCAAGAAACAGATCGCGTACCTGTATAGGAATCCTTAAAACTCTCAAATTTCAGGTCTAGTTTCTGCTTCTCTGGTTACCTCCATTTCCTTCAAGCACAAAATTACAAGAACATAAGCATAGTCAATATAAGTTTCACATTTGAAAGATTCCATTTGGTCTAATAATGATTTTCATTAAATCAACAAGTCACATTGTCATTCATGAAAATGAACAGAATTGAAACACAAAAATAAAATAAAACACATATGAAGAGCATTTTAGACGTCAAAATTTTCAAAAAAAAATCCATTGCATTAACAAGTACTTAGAAGAACATACTATAAAACAAATCAAGCATCCAGAAATGAATTAAGACCGCTTCAGTTCATTTAAATTCTAAAATTTCAACCCAATGCAACTGTCATACAGTTATTATATCCTATAAGAACTTCTGGGCATTCGATATATATTGTATCATATGCTAAGTTGGAAAAGGTATGCATGATAAAAGGGAAAAAAGTCGGCTTTGCTTAAGAATGGTAAAGCTTTTATAGGATGGCCAAAGAAACACACATGGCACATTTTTTATGGATTAAAGCAATATGACTCCCAAGAAATGGAAGATGTACCGTCAGATGACCTCAAATGTCTACGACATAAGGAACCTTAATAAAAAATTGCAGATTATCCTGTTGATTCCGAAGATGTACTAATGCGAGCAGTAGGCTGGTCTTGAAAACTTTACAAATCAAAATTCTAACGGCATATGACATTTTACTTTAGGGATGTGTTGATGGTGTGCTTTGTAGTGGATCATTAATTGAATGGGCAACATTGTTAATTCATATATGAATACTCTTCCTCCTTATGCTCGGTTTGAATAACGAATTTATTAAGCAAAAAGAAGAGTAGTGCAGAGGAAACTATATTCCCTAAATCCGTGAACCAAAAAGAACTCTCAATAACTACAAAACCAATTCCGCATTCTGTGATAATTCATATGGTGGCATGCAAATAGGAAATTACGCTTCAACACAAGAATTTTCTTGGATCAAGTGTTCGCATCAGATATGACTCCGTATAAGAGAATGTATGCAAGTTAAAGACGCACAATTTGATTCAACTAATTCAAACAAGCAACACGGGCACTTACCTATAAAGGGACAATGACATGTTCGATCTGAGCTACCAACTAACAATTACAAATCGGAACTGTAATAATGATACCTGTGCAAGTAATAGTAACAACAAAATTACATCATTAACAATCCATCAAACATCTTGCATGCAGGATCGATTACACTTATTTTTTGGTAATGCTAGTAGTATAACACGGAACAGCATGTAAAACTACATACATGTGAGCCTCTCCAGCGTCCTGCAGCGGTGGGAGCCTCTTATACTGCATAATTAAAAATGGCCACCTGATCAGAACATGGTTAAGCTAACGGTTACAGTGGAAAATTGCAAGCAGAGAAAGAGCATAGATGGTCCAGTAAACGAGCTTAATGTAAATTGGGAAAGGTATGGTGATGGCGAAGAAGAAGGCTGTGACTCCAAAGAGGACACCCACATCCTCTAGAGCTCGGGCTAGCTTTGGGGACTTGGTATAGATGAACTTCGAGACAAAGAGCAGAGCTACTGCAATAACGACGGCGTGAGAGGGAAAGTGGAAGCTTAGAGGGAGTGGGGCATGAATTTGGAGAGATAGAAAAGCGATTGCAGCAGCCCATGAAAGGCAAAATCGGATTACCTTCGCAGGCCACTCAACGAAGGGATTGGGGTTAGGAACTCCGTCGGCTAGTTTGTGGGGTTGGTGTTGCTGATCATCAGCTGCTGCTACAGACGTTTGGAAGTCTGAAGAAAAAGAAAATGTTAGTGTTTGCAGGAAATGCTTAATTGAAAGAAACATGTTTTTCATTTCTTCCATTCAATCAAATATGATTTTGATTTTTGATGACAGATTTTGAGTTTTGGATGTGTAAAACCATACCAGAAGCAGCTGGGAAAGAACTTCATTCTGTGTGTTGAATGTTGGTGTGTGTTGATCTTAGTTTTTTTATATGATAAGTAAACGACAAAGATAGTGTACAATGAGACGATTAAATTTACGACATCAACGCACAGCATAATGGTATAGTGCCTCTTATTTTTCTATTGTTTCATCTCTATGCTCCGTCCTCTCTTTAAATCCGTCCAAATATATAAAAATATAAATAAATAAATAAACAAACTAATATTACCCACCGAAACCTGACGGATTTGGATTTTTGTATCGATATAAAATTTTTATCCTGAACATAGAACGGAGATTCACACACTGATTTTTTGATCCATATGAAAATTTTATCCCAAACATAGAGCGGAGATCCCCACTTAGTGTGTGGTTCTTAACACCATTTTTAGAACTAAATTTTTTTTTAGATGTAGGTCTGTTTGGACATGAATCATGTTTATGAGTGGTTGCATATCTTCTAAAGATGTACTCAGAGAGAGGGTTTTTTTTTTTTTTTATTATTATTATTATTTCTATATATATATATATATATATATATATATTTATGTTAAAGTGATAAGAGTTTCGTGTAAAAGGTTGTGCTTTATAAGATGATTAGATCAAAATAAACTGGTTTTGGATTAAAATTAATTAATAGATATATTTTAGTATTATTTTTAACTTGGCAATGATAAATATTAGTAACTAAATAAGAGAAGGAATTACGACCTAAAGATCAGTCCCAAAATGTGGCATCAGAAGGAAAAACCCTTGGCTACTTGGTGTGCCAATGTATTTAGATTGCCTTTCAACACGACACACACACATCTTTGAATCCCAAGACCGTGTAAGATAAAATATGCTCAAATGATTTAATTCAACTAAATTTTTTTTTAGATGTAGGTCTGTTTGGACATGAAATTATTTATTATTATATTTTATATTCTTAAAGTTATATTTTTTTGCATTTATATCCATAAAATTTTAAAACTATCCCTACTAAAATTATGAAAAAAACTCCTCTATATAAATTTGCCCCCTCGTATGAATACCTAGACCCGTTCCTGCCCATCCCAAACCCATTTAGGGGACCACCCCATTAAGGGCGTAAACCCGTCGGGTCGAAAGAAATTGTCATTCCTAATCTTGTAAAGTGAGAGTTTGTATAAAAGGTCGTGCTTTCTAGTACGGAGTATGATTAAATCAAAGTCAACTGGTCCGGGATTAAAATTAATTAATGTATATATTTGTGTATTATTTTTAGTGTATTATTTTTAACTTGGCAATGATAAATATTACTAGTAACTGATAAGAGAAGGAATTACGAATTAGAGAGCAGTCCCAAAATGTGGCATCAGAAAGGAAGTAAAAAAAACAACCCCTTTGGCTACTTGGTGGGCCAATGCATTGGCTTGCCTTTCAAGTTTCAACACAATACACACATCTTTGAATCCCAAGACCGTGTAAGATCAAAGATGCTCAAATGATTTAATTCAACTAATTTAACCAACCAATAGTTAGGCAAGTGTTCCATTAAGACTAATTGATTACAAAAAATTTCATAAAGAGACTGATTACAAGGATAGTTAAGTAATTCAATTTGACACTTTAATGACACTGCTAAACCCAGGTGCCACTTTCAATTTGACACTTTAAGGAGCCAATGTTGAAATTATTATTCTTATTATTATTATATTCACCCAAAGAATTATTGTTACATCATTGTCATCAGTATTTTTATAAAATTCAAACATCTAATCAAGTTAAGGCAATTTTCAGAAGTATAACAGCATTGACAGAGATTGGGAAGGTAAGTTATTAAGGTCTCGTTTTTAAATCGTACTCCTAACTTGAATGGTGCGTATATTGTGGGACCGATACACGTACTCTAAAGAGAGAAAGGAAAAAAAAAAAAAAAAAAACATTTAAAGCATATGAAGAGATCATAAAGAGAATGAGATAAAAACTAATTGATTACAAGAAAATAATTCAACCAACCAACCAACAATTTCAAGATTCTATAAGATCCATTTACCCAAGGGACTTGAGATAGAATAGTAACATTTAACAACACTAGTCGGATCATGGACATGGACTGTACTAATGACTTAGACCTATGCAAGTAATACTGACAACAAAAAAACACCAATTTTGGCAATTCATTAAACAACTGTCCATGATGCTTATTTTCTGTAATAAATAGTAAACAGTCATTAGTCCCCAAATAAACCGACTCTGTTTTACAAGCCTTCACATGTTTGTCCTCTTTAAACCTCTTACATTGAACCTCAATGTGTGGTTCAATAAAAAGGAAATTGGCAGGACTAAGAGAACTGAATGATCGAGAACATGGTTAATGGAGATAATAGACGAAAATGGCCACCAGAGCAAGAGCATAGATGGTCCAGTAAATGAGCTTAACGTAGAGCGGGAAAGGTATGGTGATGGCAAAGAAAAAGGCTGTGACCCCAAAGAAGACACCCACATCCTCTACCACTTGGGCTCGCTCCCGGTACTTGGGATACATGAATTTTGAGACAAAGAGCAGAGTGAGTGCAATAACGATGGCGTGAGAGGGAAAGTAGAAGCTCAGAGGGAGTGGCGCATGAATTTGAAGCGACAAGAGTGAAATTGCAGCACCCCACGAAAGGCAAAATCCGATTACTTTCGCAGGCCACTCAACACTATTTACAGGAACGACACCAGAGGGATCGAGTTGTTGTTGGTGGCGGTGCTGATCATCGGCTATTGCAGGTGTTTCGGTGTCTGAACGAGGAGAAGATGATGAAGATTGCAGGTTTGGTGCAAGGGATATTGGGCTTATTCCCAGAAAATGCTTAATTGATAGAAACAACTTGTTTTTCTTCATCTCCTCCATTCTCTTATTTTCATTCTCTCAATATGACTTTGAGTTTTGAACGTGCTCTCACTCTCAGTTTTTATACGAGTCTACAGCTTAAATATAAGAAGATTTTCCAACATGAGTCCAATGAACGGAAAATACTTCTGACCTCGTGACTTAAACAAACTGACGTCACCACTTCAACGTCATCGAGGTCATGTTATTAATGTCAATAACATTTTGTCCTCTTCATAGCTCAATAAGACTTATTGCACATTACTTTTGATAAGACTTATTGCACCATTACTTTTGATTTTATTCATTGTGGGTTCAAGAAGACTTCTTGGAAAATCTCTTAACATGTTTGTAAAGGCCGGTGTCATCGGATATATCTGGAGCACCATATGCTCTTCTAAAGGTGCAAAGCTTTTCGTTAAGAATATTCAAATACCAAAGGTCTCTTTTTGAACTCAAGAAATCTGAAGCGGCTTTCATTTAATTAGTAAGAGTTTCTACGGATAAAATGGAATCACTCAAACCGAATTGAATTAGAATGAGGGGGATTTTTTTGTTTGCAATTCGCACTAAATTCTATGATTTTTTCACATTTAACTTTAGCTATTGGTGATTACTTTTCTAATTATGAACTAATGCAGTATTTTACTCTATTATCTAAATTTTATTTATATTACATATCATATATAATATACAGACTAAAATTTAAAAAATGTACAAATAATACTGTGTTTAAATATCACATTATGTAAAGTGAGCAAATAACAACTTTTTATCACCTAAATAGGAGTATTGGATAGGCGAAAAGATTAAAATATCCTCCATTATTCTAATAACATAAATAATAAAAAATACCTAGGAGTTGAATTTACCTTAGAGGACATATTTGTAACGACACCGTTTTATACAAAGCCATACACACATATTTGGGCTCTATGCGTACTTAATCTCGCTCTCAGAGTCTCTTAGCCAAACTTCTGCCATACGAGGAGAAGAAGATGGAAGGATCGGAGGTGACAGAGGTGTTGTTCGTCGTCCGAATCATCCAAGCAGGTCAACTGGGTCCTCCTCCTCCTCAAAACCCACATGGCCACCGGTTGCTTAACCTTCATTGCCTCCGCAATGTTCGATGTCGCCCCCGCCATTAGTCATCGCGTTTCTGCCGGAAGGACGGACGCCGACCCCGACAACGATACCGAACCGATTGGCATATTGTCGCAGAAAGCTTCACCATTAAAAGTGGGTTTCTAATTCTGCATGAAGGTGCACTCTGTTATTTTAGTAGGGCTTGAGATTGTTGCGTATTACAAGGGTTTGCATTTTGATCCTCGTAACCTGCAAATAAGGCCCCATCACCATCAATTACAACCTCGTATTATTAGGAATCAGGCCCCATCACCATCAATTACAGCCTCATATCACAGACTTGAATTTCAACAAATATTTTCTTCCCAGATTATTTAATCACTCAATGATCAAAGCACACTACAACAACAACAAAAATTTACATCCTAAAAAACAAAATCTTTTTGAATTTTTTATTTTTAAACAAAAACAAATCATTGAACTTTTAATCATAATCTTTCAAGTCCACACATGGTCCAAAAATTCAAAGAATTTTCTGAGTATCTGTGAACACAAAAATTTGACTCTGCAGAGCTTCAATTTATTTTAAGTCTCATAAAATAATCACAACATGAAATTCAACTTGCAAATTTTGCTTAGACATTTAAAAATTAATCTAGCAAGTTCATGTGTGTATGTGAAATTTTCAATAAAAATTTAACAATTCATTATCTAAATCATATGGATCAAAAAGTATCAAGATCAAATTATTTTTGAGCAATTTTTCTAAATAAGGTGGCTTTCACTCTAAAAAGGATAACAATTCCCCATGTCAACTTGTCTTCACCTTTCTTTTTACTCAATTAGCTCTCTTCAAAGTCTAATGGGAGCTTTCGACCCAAACTCAATAGGTAGCGTTTTCCTCGACAAAGAATTCAGCAAATTTATCAAATTTTTTTCTTTTCTTTTCATGCTGAATAATTTTTTTATACTTTTTTCTCATGCTCTTATTTTTTTTTTTTTTTGACAATAACCTTTATAACTTTTGTGATCAATATACCTAATCAACAATTCAAAGATTTTTAATCAAAATTTTTAGAGATTGATTAGTGCACAAAAACTACGAACTCAAGAGATTCAAATCTAAAAATCTCCTAATCAATGCAAATTATCTTTCCAAGAATCTATTTTTATCAAATCATCATGTGTCTCAA